GAGTGTGAAAGTCATCAAACTCGTATGCATGTAGTGCTGTGATTGTGTCATATACGTAGCGGAACCAAAAAGGTAGTGCATGTTTGTAAGTCGTGAGCGCCCGTTCCTCTATAGATTGCATTACAATTTCAGCAACTACAACAGAAACGGGTGAGCCCATTGCTGTTCCATGTAATTGTTTGTAGTGTGTACCTTTGTACTGGAAGTAAGTCGAGGTGAGGCAGAGCTCCAGTGGCTCCATAATGTCTTCTGTCGGTAATGGCAGTACGTCCGTGGTGTTTGTAATGAGGGTTTTTCTATAAGTAAGTGGCAGATTAAGTGGAATCCTGGTGAACAGTGATTTCACGTCAAAAGACACTAGTATATAGTTGTCCGGTATTTGTATAGTGCTCAGTTTGTTAATGAAAGTTTCAGTGGATTGTAGCTTGTGTTTCGATTTGCTTGTAAGTGGTTGCAGTATGTCAGTCAAGTACTTTGAGAGTTCGTAAGTAGGCGAACCACAGAATGATGCAATTGGTCGCATGGGTATTTGTGGTTTGTGAAGTTTTGGTAGTCCGTATAGTCTGGGTGGTCGTGGTACTGAACATCTAAGTCGATAGTAAATACGTTCAGATATAATGTTAGATTTACTCATAGAGAAGATCTTGCTGTTAATTTTGCGTACTAGTGATGGTGTTGGGTCTCATTTAAGTTGTTCGTACGGTTTGTCTGTCGTTAACAAGGGTGTCCATTTTGTTGAAGTAATCATTCCTGTCGATGACCACAGTCACGCGTCCTTTGTCTGCTGGTAAAATGACGATGTTGTTGTCGTGTTTTAGTCGTTTGAGTGCTCGTTGTTCGTCCTTTGTAAAGTTGTTGTCACGTTTAGAGGACGATTGTAAAGCGGAGGCTACCCTGCTTCTGATCTCGTCTTTGGTTGTCTCTGACAAGTCTCTTTGATAGGCAAGGACAGCCTCGACACTTGATACTATCGTCACAGTCGTGATTCGTCTAGGTGTTATGGAATGTTTTAGTCCGTAAGATAGTAGTCGCGTTTCAGTTTCGTCTAATGAGCGGGAAGAAATATTCCTCACCCAGTTATCGTCATGCTCAAATGGTTCAGTAAAGAAAATGGCTCAAACCATTTACTTTATCATATTACTCTTATATATATTCATCGCATACATTATATTCCTTATAATACTGAAGATGGCATCATGAGATGTTGAAACATGTTTATTTTAAAAAAACTTGTCGTTTTTATTGAAAACAAATCAAATTTACTAAAACTAAAATAAAAAGCCAAAAGTGAACTAACAAGCCACGTTCGAATGCGAGTCGGAGTCAAGAGCACAGGAAAATTAACTTTTATCTTATAAATGACACAAATGCAAACATTCTTCTTTACTCTTGAAAATCAGAAGTAAAGCTAACCCTTGAAAAAACAGCGAGACAGAAGAAAGAACGAAAGTTTCGTATCACGTCAATAATACTATATGATAAACTTTTCTTGCTTTCACCTGTTAGGTCTTTACTGAGAAATATGTGACCGCTGTTGTACAAACCTCGTTCAACGAGCTTAATCTGTACTGGCTTCATAAGACTACGGTCAGATTTTCCTCGGTAAGGAACCTCCGTAAATCTTAAGTCTTTTTTATTTGACTATTTCTTTAATACACTATTAAATGTATTGTATACACTGCGACTCATTGACTGCATAAGTTATGAAATCAAATTTTAGCCTTATCTCGGTCTTGTTACAAATTAACTTTTTTCTTACCTTGACATACGAACTATTTTCTGTGGTTTTTTCTTCATCTGTAACTGAGACTGTAATCAAGACATGCATGCATGTCAGATTATTGCAGGCGATAGGTGCCCCTAAAAACTACTCATCTTTGGAATCATCTGACATTTAGGATTTCCATGATTCAACAACAATTGATCCCCAAACAAAAAGCTGCAAATACAATTGATGAAATAATAGATACGTTTTGCAGCTATTGCCAATTTCAAATCCGAAACATTTTTGCTTCCTTAAAGATTATTTACTGCTGAGTCTACAAATTCAAAATGTCGCCAAATTTCAATTATGTGCATCTTTTTAAGATACATTGCATTCTTGGCACTTTAATTGGTTTGTGCAAACTGGCAGTAGCACATGATAGTCTAGTTTAGTTGTTTATTCTTTCAGATGTTTGTTTTTGATAAACTGAATATTATTAAACGACAGTGGCATATGCAAGGCAGGAACAATGCAATGGAAGTTGTTTGAGGTATTTTCATACGTACATCATACGACAACTTGTGGTGTGTCTTTATTTAAAATGCTCCATGCATCACTACAATCATATATTAATCGGTTTCAAGAACTGAAAAATTAATGTGTTCAGAACAAATTTAGTGGACTACTACCAATAAATGAAAAAAACAACTAATGTAGAATTTATAGTTTTACATACTTTAGAATTACTGTCAGTGGGTACTTTATTGCCATTTGGATCAAATTCCTGAATGGACGGTTACATATATCAGATACTTCTCAATTTACGTAAATCTTCATAAATACATGTATCTTGAACAATTGTACGTATTTGCTGAGGTTTCAATGCGTTAATTTACTTTTGAATTTCTTATTGCTTTCTGTATGACAACAGACCTAAAAAGGTTACCATTAATGGGATTGATTACGTGGTTGGAGCAATTGTAGTCACAGGTCATTCATATGAGCAAGAAGTGCCAGAATTTGTTCTAATAATGAAAATTGTAATGCTACCATCCATATCCTAGTTTCACCTAAAGAAATTTATTGCTGTCGACTTCAACAACCATTTTCATGCTTGTGAAGTAATTACTGGAGAAGAACCGCCAACTTTCATCACTGGCAATGAATTTTTTATTCATTCTCCAATGCACTTTCACGTGCTATCAGTGCAGCTGGAAGAAATGCACCTTCATTTGTTGTGATACCATACAGCACAACAACCATACATAAATTCATGAATTCTTTGAATGAAATTAAGACAAGTGGTAACATAAGTAATGACTACTGCGAAATTGTCACCACATTGGGGACCACACTCATCACCACATTCAACTAAAATTTATCATTCAAAATGATAAATTGAAAAATTGTCTTTACAACACGTTTCACATCAAATACAACAGTAAAAAACAATTCTTAACTACTTATTATTATTTTACTGTCCTTAAACATCACAAAGAAAGTATAAAAGTCAAGAAATTGAAGAAAACACTAAGCTTTAGGTTACAGTGTACTTTTCATTTCTCTTAATTATCATATAATTTAAAAACTACACCGTAGAATTTTTTTTAACTTGGCCAGAATATAGATAATTATTTTGTCTAAAATATATCCAAAATCTGGAGAGTGCACAAAAAAATAAATCTAGAAAATCATCTACAAAGTCGGATGACACGGATGCGCGCGATATAATCTTATATAATTAACTTCCTATATCCATGTAATTTTGCAAACAAAGGTCTATAAGTAAAAAACTACACGGTAGAATTTTTTTAAACTTTTGCGTATTACACATGTTTATATCGTCTAAAATATCCAAAATCTAGAGAGTGAACAAAAAATTATTAATACAATTCACTTTTTACAAAATTGTTTAAAAGTAATAAACTCTGTTTGGTTGTTAATACCAAATGAATTATGCAGTGACGTAACAGTGCTGGTTATCTTTTTTGAAGGTTAGTTTTAGTTGCTCATCGCTTTAATTTTTTCAAAATTTAGTGAATCTAGTGAAGTAAATGACTTGTTTTTGGAGTAGTTGTGACCAAATGTTACTTTAATCCAGGACCTTTACGTCACTGTATGATTAGGCATGTGCATTATTTATTTTGTATTTTTACAGGCTTAATAGATAATTACTTTACTTTATTATCTTATAATTAGAAATCGGCTATTATTTACCACAGTATTTTTCTTTCCATCGCATTTTTTTTACGTTGTTAACACGATCAGAATATCGATTAACGATTTCAATTTTTCTGAGAATGGTCCTGTTGCATTTTGAACTTATATGAAAGTAGTTAACTAATTTATATATATATTTCATCGCAGGCTCAAGTTTTTTTATTATAAAATGTATTATGTCTAAAAATAGTCATAATACATTTTATAATAAAGAAAACCGGGGGGATCGTTTTTTAAACAGTCAGCGGTAGTAAACATAAATAGAGAGGGTGAGCCTGTGATGAAATACATATATATATTAGTTAAGTGAAGTGAAGTATAATAAAAAATATATATAGGTAGAAATACAAACATATTTCATAAAAAATATATATTTACTATACAATACATAACATTTTCATTCATGAAAGTCCAAAGTCCAATTTACTGATGATACAAATCGTTTTGCTTTGATACATTGTCCACAAGAAAGAATCGCAAATATGAATCAGTCTTTTCACCAACTTTATCGTCCCAAAACCAATTAAGCCAATCTTCTATTTGTATACAAACGCAGGGGCGGATCTAGGATTTTTCAAACGTCAGTCCTAAACCAGCAAACGCCGTATGGGGTCCGAGGGCATCCTCCCCTGGAAAATGTTGAAGCCTAGGGTCCCAGAAATGCGATTTCCAGCGTTTTGGAATAGCTTTACAACAAATGATCAAAGTGAATGAAATCGCAGTTTTTTATTTTTTCTTACAAAATATTGAGGACAAACACGCTAAGACCGTTTCGCCCAATGTCAGGGCTCTTCAGCATGCCTAGGAAACACATAGTGCAAAGCAATAATGTGATTCCGGACATGGACAGTCTTTGTTTTAGCAGCAACGGCGCATTACAGCAGCCAGTTGTGCTGTAAGACATTTCTGCAGCAACGGCGCATTAAGCAGCCAGTTGTACTGCATGACATTTCTGCAGCAACGGTGCATTAAGCAGCCAGTTGTGCTGTCTTACATTTCTGCAGCAACGGCGCATTAAGCAGCCAGTTGCAAAGTCAGTAATATTTCTACAGTAACGTAGCCATAACACATTAAGCAAATTTCAAACGTGTATTACCTTCAGCAAACTTATTGATCACTCTTTCTATGTCAGGAATAATTTCTGGGTGAATTCGCATTAAAGCCAGGCCATTTAAACGTTCCTCTACCATAGTGCTCATTTGGTAGGTTTTTAGATTCCTCAGTGCTGAAATTGATCTCTCACATTCACATGAGGTGATTGGTAGTGTACCTAAAATGCGAAGAATAACTTTAATATTTTCAAATCCTGGAAGGGTTACATGCTTCAGTGTTTTGACGATGTTTTCTGGCAAAGGCCCATTGTGCGTTTCCCAGTATAAACGCCATTGCCTAAATTCAGCATCTAAACCAAGGGGGTTGGGCAAGTCATCATGATAGAATTTTGCAACACTTTTAGCTGTTCTTTCAAATCAATTCCTTTGTCCGACAGAGTCATCATTTGACGGGAACGATAGATAATCCTCGGTACACATTAACACTATCCAAGTTAAACCTAGTGCTCAAAGATGTTTGCAGATGGTCTAATAAAGGAATAGTGATGGTTAGTTTATAATGTTCTTTGAATGATTGACTGGGGGGATTAGATCGCATAGTTTGTCTTCCAGCAATTCGCTTATTTGTTTCTTGAACGTTGACATCTTCAGCAAGTTTTAAAGCCTCTTCATACCAAGTGTTATGATAAAAATTAATGCTTTTCCTCATGTTGGCTACATCATTCTTCAAAGTGGTTATCAAATGAAAACCATCCATGACATCAATAGTTTTTCCCTGCAACAATTGCGTGACTGGAAGAGTAGCATCAAGAATATTTCTTGTAATAACTAGCGCAACAATAAAATGAAATTGAGTAACTAATGAAAGTAACTGGGAAGCATCAGCAGCAAGGGAAGGCTTCACCTCGCCGCTTACATTGTTTATCATGTCCTGAAGAGTGTCGATTAAAGGGATAAACAATTGTTGAAACGTGTCAAGACTGTCAACTCGCTCAACCCATCTGGTTTTACAAAGACTTACCAGTTTTGCCTTCTTGGTCTGAACATCTGACTTTTTAACGTGCTCAGCAAAGGGTATGTTGCGTGTCTGTGATATGTTGATAAAATTGGCAGCTTGAGAAACAACAAATAACATGTTATTAATTTCAACGTTAGAAAGAGTGTCACAGACAGACAAATTTAGTCAATGACTGTAACAGTGAGTGTAAAGAGCTTTAGGATTAGTTCTTAAAATGTGGGCTGCTAAACCATTTATATGCCCAGAAACAGCCCTGCACCATCATAACCTTGTCCCCTGCAATCCATAATGGGTAAAGCAAATTTCTAAAATAAGCTTTGAAAGTTGTTGACCACTCAACCCCCATTTGCATGCAGAAAACACATGAACTCTTCTTTAACATTCATTGAAGAGTCAACAAACAGTAGAACAAGGGACAATTGCTCTTTGTGAGAAGAATCAGCAGCTTCATCTGCAATGATAGAATAATATCTATTTTTTTTATCTCGTTTGTAATATCTTCTGATATTACCTGACCAATAAAATTGATGATTTTGTTTTGGCTGGTCTTGGAAATATAACTTTTATTCTTGCCACATTTGAGCAAATGATTTTGCAAAGTTTGATCACCAGCTCTAACTCTAAAATTTAAAGATTCAACAAAATTAACAACATTGCCATTGACTGAATAGCAACCGACCTCTGGGTGAAATTGAGCATCATCACGATGACCTCGTAATCCAATGCCAAGCCTTCCACAAAAAAGAACTGTATCAACAATTTGTTTAAGAATTTTCCTATTTTGCTCAATTTCAAGTTTTATGTTAGTATCTAAGATATTTTTAATGGGTTGAGCTTCACCTGACATTTCAGATCGTATATTATTTAAAATTGGAGAAGTAAATGCATGTAGTCCCATTTTCCCCCCCTTACAATTTCCAGCATGTCGCCTAAATGTACCTACAGCATCATTCCAATAACGAAAAGGTGAACGAAATAGCTTATTATTCTCGAACATTTACTGGGGAATTGATGTCCAAAAAGAACACATGATAAGCAATAAGCACCATCTTCCTTTGGTGAATAACACAGCCAGGTAAAATCTTTGACCATTCATATTTAAAATACCTTTTATTGTTCTCACTTAAAGGAGGAAAAGTGTAATTTTCATCTGGTTTAAAAACATTTTTAATAAGCAAACAAATATCAGACATTTTCAAACCTTTAGCTCTTTCGTAGTAGGTAGCTACATCAAAATTGTGACTAAAGTTAGGCTTTACCTGTAAATCTTCAATGGTTTGTTCAGAAACCCTAGTACAAGAAACCTCACTTGTAATGATTTCTGGTTTTTCCATTTTTGAAAAAAACTTACTGATATTCCCGGACTTCTTTTCTGCTTTTGCTTTTTTTGAAGGCACTGGGCATGTTGGACCAGAAATTGTCCTTTTATTTTTGCTAGGAAAAAAAACTAGAGGAACAAAATGATTAGATTGGAAACATTGATCTGATTTAACTACCCCTTTATAACAAAACAAAAAATGAATTGCATCGGCTGATTCTTTAACTATTCTTCTTGGACAAACAAGAGAGTTGAATACTGATTTAGGCCGGCTCTCTCCACAATCTGGGTAGTAGGTTAAAATTTTTGTCTCCAACACAGAAGAAAGAGCTAAAATGCATAGAAACGATGACCACTTTTGGTCATGACAATTCAAAAAGGCCTCCTTTTTGACAAGATCAACACCTACAAAACCAGAATCTAGACAGTCTTGAGATACTGTCAAAGGTAAAATATTCTTTGAGGTGTTGTTGAATTCTTTATGCTGTTCAACAATTGAGGAAAATAAAGGATGTTGGCAGTAAAAAGTAGCATTAAAAACAGCTCAAGTGATGTTAACTGCCTCAAAATATGCAATAAACTGATATCACCTGCCAAAAGCAATGACACTGAACTGTAGAGACAGTTGCCAGATACTTCTGATCTAAATGGAATAAAAAAGTCGTTTTCCTATAAGTCCTCCAACAAAAATTTAACTAACTGGCCAGGAAATATCTAATATAGCTACGTAGTTACATGTAGAAGATATTCAAATTCAAATATACTTCGACTATTCGATGAATTTATCGAATTATGAAACTATGAATAGCACTTTATCGCAGTCAAATCATCTGACTTTTGTTTAGAAACGTTGTGCAATTAAATGACGTAATTTTGATATGAATCGTAGTCAGATGCGTATGATTATCTATAAAGCTCCGTGTCGTTAGGCAAAGCAGCCATTTTGCCTAAGTCAAGAAAATCTAGCCATTTGATTGGTTGTTAGCAATTTGCCTAAACAAGATGAATTTGCCTAACTTGACATCGTGTATAGGTATTCTGATTGGGCAATTTTTGCAACCGTATGCTTTCATTGGTCAATTTTTTTGCCTAACGAGCAATTCAACCAATCATTGCTGTTGATAAGCATAGTTGAGCTAGGCAAATTAGGCAATTGAAAATTAACATACACTCGTATTGTTTCTGAACAGCCTCTGTGCTGTGATATTTTATAATGTCTTCATTGTGTTGTGGTAATTTATACGAGACTGCTCAGTCTGCGTTGGCCAAAACGATTTAAAATGCCTTAATGAGCTTTATTCTCGTTTATTGGTCGACGTTCGACTATGTTTACTAACGAGCAGCTGTTAGATAGAATTTATGACCCCGACCATACTCTGTGTCGAAATTTTGGAGCTGAAATATATGTGCCAAAGCACGCTCATGACGGAAAGACTTGTACTGCAATAAGGTAAATATATTATAATTATATATATCGTATTGTAGTATTTATATATACGTGTAAAATGGTTAAATCTCAATTTCGCCTATATCTTTGTCTACAGTCAGCAATTCATTCATACAATGCAATCAATCTACCAAACAAAATATTAATTTCTTTTGAATATTTTTAAGATCTGAAGCTTCTGGCAATTGCCTCTACAGTTCAGCTTCCCTAGTTCTGGTAGGTAACAATGCATTGGTCCCTACTCGAATTTTAACATCGCTTGAGCTATTTATTCATGCTGCTTTTTGCTCAACACCCATGCTTTTTGTCTGTTATAAGTGAGCACAGTGATTACTTTAAAGCTTAAACAATCTTTTGCCTTTGTCAGTGTCTAAAGAATGTTTAGACACTGGATATACAACAGATGAACTGGTAAAACAGGAGGCTATTTTAAATTGTAATGACCAGAAATGGTCATCTTTTCTTTGTATTTTGGGCCTATCTTCTGTTTTAGGTAGAAAAATTCATACTTTTATCCTGATTCTGGTGAAAGTAGATATAAATTGTTATTTAATCGTATTGTTCAGCCCGTTATTAAGCCAAAGAGGTTTGGATGCTATTAATATTTTGTTTTGTCATGAAGGATCTGTACAACCAGGTGAGACTTTTCAGTCTAATCATTTTGTGCCTCTCATTTTCATGCCCACAGGTTGAAGCAAAATTGTCTAATTCCTGTACACAGTCTAATTCTAGCAGCTCAACAACAGAGAAACGAAAATTTGCACAAAAACAGTTGACATTTCAAATTTTTTACTTCAACTAATAGCCTGCTGCCAACCAACTTTTAAAAGGATGCCCAATGAGAGTTTTCTTCTGCTGCAGCTCTTGCTCAGACATTAAATAAAGCCAATAGTCTTTGCTTCACACATCATCCCAGGAACTATTGCCTGGTATTCCAACTTCTGGTGATATGCAACCTGCTGTTTTAACCCATAATTTTGATGTTTCCTTGTATAGGAGAAAGTTAAGGGTATGGATAATTCTGAAATATGTCATTTGATAAAAATGTATATAAACCAGATAAAAGTATCATTTTCCTAAATCTAATGGCAGATCATTTAGGCATGATTGGCTAGACCAGCATGAATGGCTTTGCTATTCACCTTCACAAAATGGTGCGTATTGTCTATCGTGTGTGTTGTTTGTAATAGATTCCCAGGCAAGGCCAGTAAAGTAAAAAGTTGTTTACTGAACCTCTTCAAGATTGGAAGAATGCTAAATGCTCTTTCACTCAACATGCTGGAAAAAGTAAAGGGAGGAAGTCGGTTTGCATGCATCCACATCACCAATTTTGATGCTTTGCGTTAAATATCAGGTACTCTGCAGCCTATCGAGATGATCATGGATGCTGGTATCAAAAAAAAATAGAACAGAATAGTACTATCTCCAATTATTGATTCTGTCATTTTTGTGGACGTCTAGGTTTACCTCTTCGTGGGCATCGTGATGATTCCAAGTATCACCCTACTGTTGGTTGTTATTCATCTGGAGTTGGTAATTTCATCAAACACTCAATTATGGAGTTAGAGAGGATAAAGTTTTAGAAAATCATTTAAAAATTGTGGTAAGAATAGAAGTTATATTTCTAAAACAAGTCAAAATAAAATCATTAAATGTTGTGGCAGGTAATCAGTAATCAGATTATTTCTGATATCAAAAATAAGTTTTTCTGTTATTGCTGATGAAGCATCTGATTCTTCACATAAAGAACAAATGTCTCTTGTTTCACTTTGTTGATACCGATATGAATATCAGGGAAGAATTCATTTCATTTCTTTTTGTAAGTGGGGACTAAGTGGTGCTCAACTTGCCAAGCTACTTTGAGGCTCTAAAGGAACTGACTTTCAATAGATGATTGTACAAGGTTATGATGGGGCTGGTTCAGTTGCTTTGCACTAATGGTCTAGCAGCTCAAATTTGAAAGCTGCAAAGGCTCTTTATACATGCTATGTCATAGGTTAAACTTATCCATTTGCGATTCTTTGAGTATACGTGTTGTCAATTATGTTGTGTTAACAATGCCACTAATTTTATTAAAATTTCCCAAACTCAATATTCCCTTTGAATATACGTAATTCAGAAACAAACTCGAAAAGGATTACAGACGTTTGCAAAACTAGATGGGTAGAGTATCGCATTCCAAGAGCTTTTGTATGTATACACCACCCTTAACGATATGTCTGAAAAGATGGTGAGTTCAAACCGTCAGTCTGATGCTCATCTTTGTTTCAACTTATTGACAGGTTTGATTTCGTCGTTGCTTTAGTTATCACGAGATATTCTTGATTCAACTCTTCCAGTAACACAGTTATTACAGGGTAAAAGTATCGATATAATGGATGGTATTCATTTAATTTCAACTTTGAAAACTGAGGTGGTGAACATGAGGAATTCCTCTGATTTTTATCATGACACCTGGTTGACGAAGCGCTTGAACTGGCAGCAAAGTTGGCATTGAAGAATGGAAACCAAGAACAGTGCGCAAACAAACGACCAGGAAAATATTACAACCATTTCTGAGTATTATAAACGTGCAATTACTCTTCCTCTACTAGATCATTTGCAATCTTCTTTAGAATCACGATTCGACCTTGAGAGTGTGAATGTCTATAAAGGTTTAATTGTACCGACGAAAATGATGTCCATGACAAGAGATGGGGTGGATTGGAAAGAGCCATTAAAACTGTGGCTAACTTTTATTATGATTTTCCTTTGGCCTTAGATGCTGAACTTAGGTTGTGGTACACTTATTGGGAGACCCACTGCGGCCTCCTTCCTGATAACATTGCCCAGATTTAAAATCTGTTCATTTCGGGATTTGAAAACAAAAATTTTACTTATTTTAGGAACGCTTTACTCTTGTGAATGTGAACGATCTATTTCTTCTAGGACACTTAAAACTATAGCGAAGTACCATGGTTGGGGAGCTTAAGGTTTGCCTTGATGCAAATTCATCAGGAAATTGTACCAGATATTGGTGAGGTTATTAATACTTTTGCTGTTGGAAATACAAGGCTAAAATTTGCATG